GTATACTCTTAACGTTGCTGCCACACTGAACCCAGTCTAAAATTTAACATTTAAAAAACACAATGTCACTTTTTTCGTATTATCAACATCTATCTCGTTGATATGTGTCTGGTATGTAGATTATATTGCACACCTCAAATTTGATATTCCTGTTGTAGCACTATAAAATCTTTAGTTATGATTTTTTTAAATCTTTAAAAAAAATTCTTTTCTCTCTAAATTTAAAATTTAAAATTCTTAGGGTTACTCGCCCTATGTCTAAGTGCTGGCGCGGCTAGTTCTTGTTTCCACACTGTACAGGTGTTATTTAATGTAGTCTTCTTGTGTGGGTGCCGCTGCTTGTCTGTACTACGTGTGCTCCACCTGATGATGGCCGATAGAGGCCGAAACATGTAGTGTAGAAGGAACAAGATCAAAGAAATATAATATATATTGTTTGCACTTGGGACGGAGTTTGTATCATTTATCGTGTAGAGTGCAACAGGATGCTTAAATATAATATTGAATGTTGAATTGCATCTAATTCTTCAATAAGGATCCTTCTTGTGCACTTCAACATGTTCTGTCAATAAAAACAAATGTCGGTACGATAGTGTCTATTTTGTTTTAAATACAGAATATTGTTACAATTAATATGTTGCTGGACATTATCCATCATCTTGTCTGTTCTTAAAAAACCGTCTAGTTTCTATTAAAAACACGTTTCGGGAACTGGAATCTGTCCCCGTCTTCAGGTAAAACCTACTCAGTCGGGTCCAATAGACGTTGTGTTTTTAATAGAAACTAGATGGTTTTTTAAGAACAGACAAGATGATGGATAATGTCCAGCAACATATTAATTGTAACAATTTACCATCATCACAAACTTTTAGATCTTACAGAATATTGTTGTGTACACTGAATACTTTTGAATACATTTTTTGTACCTTGTTTATGACACACATCAGGATGCATACTATTAAGATTTTTCTAGAAAGCCAAGTTGGATCCACAAGTGAAATTAAACAGCTTGAAGGCAGAGCAGAGTTGGATAGGTCCCCATCTAGGTTAAATAGCATATAGACATAAGATTCTGAAGGGCTACCTTGCTTCTAGATTGTAGCATCTTGTGGAGAGAGCAACACCAGGGAGGTCACTTGAACTAAACTTCAAAGGTTAAGGAACTGGTTAGATGGTGTTAAGATGGGTCTACATTTCACAATGTCCACTGCTGTTCACAGGTTGTCCTTGAAGGTGCGGCCATTATTTGTGTGTGTGGGGGGGGGGGAGACAGAAGGTTTCTGAAATGTTGCTCTTCAGCTTGAATTGACCTGGTTGGACATTTAAGATTTTATCAAATTTCTGAAGCAATAAAATTTACTCTCTCTTGCCTAGAATTATTCTGTCTTCAATATGTAAACAAGCAAAGAAAAATAAAAGCAACTTTACAGAGTACTGTTAGTGAGATAAAGGATGAGTGCCTGAAAAAATGGGAAATGCTTTTGATCTAGGTCATATGTATAATTTCAGTAGTTACAGGGCCACACGTTCTCAGTAGTCAGATAATCTGATGTGAGTTGAAACATTTAGTTGTTCTAAGAGATACAGTCTTGAAATCTGTACAGATATGCATTCGGTACTGTTAAACTCGTTGCAATGCTAACATGCACAATATACACTCAAGTGCCAAAAGTCATGGGATAGCAGAATGTAAATTTATTTTTAAGTGGCGCCACCGTCCCTCGACAGCTTGGGAATGCCCAGAGCAGTATCAGTTGTGAGGTGTTTTCTCATGAGTCAGGTTGAACACTGGCCAGTCTGCTCATAGCAAGCCGACGTGAATTTTTGGAGTTTGAATGGGGCATGTTAGTGGGTGCCAGGCAGATGGGACATTCCATTTCCGAAGTTGTGCAGTCATTCAACATTCCTCGATCCATGGTGTCACGTGTGTACCGGGAATACCTTGTGGAGGGCATTTCCACCCACTGTGGAGAGCGCAGTGGCCGACCATAGGTGCTTAATGATCGTGACCAGCAGCATCTAGCTAGAATTGTTGGTGATAACAGACAAGCGACACTGGCTGAAATCACATCCACATTCTATGCAGGAGGTACCAGATGCATATCCAGCAGGTCAGTGCAGCATTCTTTAGCTTCCATGGGATATGGGAGCAGAAGACCGACCAGAGTGCCTCTGTTAACACCATGACACTGGACACAGCGCCTCACCTGGGCTTGTGACGTCGCTAATTGGACCCTGGAGGATTGGCAACGTGTGGTGTGGTCCGATGAGTCATGGTAACAGTTGTTTCGGGCGGATGGTAGGGTTCAGGTGTGGCACAGACCCCATGAGGCCATGGACCCCAGTTGTCAACAAGGCACTGTGCAGGCTGGTGGTGGTTCCATACTGGTGTGGCGTGTGTTCACATGGCATGAGTTGGGTCTGCTCATCCACCTAACATGTCATTGACCGGTGACCAGTACGTTACACTGCTTGGTGACCATTTGCAGCCCTTCATGGACTTCATGTACCACCACAATGATGGGATATTCCAGCAGGACAATGCACAGTGTCATCGGGCCGGAGTTGCCCAGAATTGGTTCGAGCATTCTGGAGAGGTCCGATGAATGGTGTGGCCACCACGTTCACCCGACATGAACCCAATCGAGCATTTATGGGACGTGGTGGAGAGGTCCATTCGCACCCAAAATCCTGCACCTACAAATACCAGGGAGCTTTGGGCAGCTATCCAGACGGCATGGTCCAACATCTCTCAAGAGGTCTTCCGTCCACTTGTGGAATTGATGCCATGTCAAGTTGCCGCACTTTGCCGGGCTAGAGGGGGTCCTACATGATACGAGGTACCTATCCCATGACTTTTAGCACTTCAGTGTACATCAGATTCGTTTCATACTAAATGCTGAGAAATTTTAAATAAAAGAAAATGTGAATTATTAATATAATTTTGAGCTTGTCTCAAAAGGATACAACAGAGTATGTTTTACAGTTTTCTGTTTCAAATTTACCAATAATCTTGAGCTTTTTCTAAGAATTTCTTTTTGTTAAAGAGTATTTATGCAACATTCCAAGTTGTGGGTCACCTCTTTATGACCAAAGTAGCATGTAAAGTACCCCATGGTATTACACATACTTCAGCAGTATTACTAATGACTTCACATAACCAAGATATTTGTCTTTTGAATTTTACCACAGATTTGGAACTGATTTTTACATGTTGTAAGATATCAAGTGACCAAAACTTAAATGTTATTACTGAAATAACAAAATGTGAGGAATAAGTTCACAGTAATTCACAGTTCCAAGCTGAATTGTCTATGCTCTAACTAATCTGTCATTATGCTCTAGTTGTTACCTCTATTCCCTTACTGTCTGCAGTAATGTAGGAAGTGGCTTGCCTAATAGGTTCGAACCGTTAACTGATGAATAATGTTCTAAGACTTGAAAACAGTGCTCGCACAGTATTATAAGAAAGAGATTTTATAATCAGCACATTTTACCTAAATTATACTTATTATTATGATTATACACTATTTTCTTATTTAGAATGTCAATGCTGGTTTTATCAGAGATTGTACCTTTAGTAATACTGATATTAATTACAGAATACATATTTGCTGGTAATGTAGATGCATGAAGAGTAAATATGTTTCTAATTGTATTATATTTTTCTTACTTGAGGTTTACTTTTATTATAAGATATTCTATTTAGATATAATTTTAACTCTCCCAATCCATACATAGTAACAGAATTATAGAATACCCTACAAGGCAGTTACACATACTGAAGTCTGCAAGCACTACACAATGAGGCTATGGGTCTGAAATGTCATTAGAACTTGTCTCTTTCAACAGCAATGGCAAGTGCAGTTTCAGGTGATGACTGTAATTTGCTGCAGTTTTTTTTTAATTTGATTATTATCATGATTTTGGATGAATTTAGAGGGACATGAAAAGTTTTGTATTTGATGTGGAGATAAACTGAATGGTGATTTTTGACAAAAAAGACTAACTAATGCAACTGGAATATTATCAAGTATTACAGTATTATGTTAGAAAAATTAGCAAGAGAATGGCAAAATGTAGGTTATATTTTTCTCACAGTAAATGTTATCCATGGTAATTATTTCATGCCATTTGTGAATAATGAGCATTGTAAATATTACACTGTACTTTTTTACCTATAATGATGTGGTTGATTTGTGTGTGTGTGTGTGTGTGTGTGTGTGTGTGTGTGTGTACACATCACATAACTGTACTAAACTTCACAGTTACGTGTCTTGATTGAAACTAAAGCCAAACAGAACAGTATTGAACCTAGGAATTTAGAAAGAACGCCAGTAAAGTACAGACAATATTGTGACATGTTGCGCAACAGAAACCTGTATATAATTAATTGTTATTTTCACTTTATTACAAGATGATAAATATTATAACTCTTGCTGTGCTGTCAGTATTAAAATAGCATATGAGCTCATTCTGGGGCTGTGGAGAAATTAAATTCTTAGCAGATGAACTGCAGATTTTCCTCTTTAACACAATATTATGAGGGCTATTGTTCTGAGTCACCTTGTGCAGATGAGTATTAAGTGTTCCAAGAAGGTGATGAACTTACCTCCACCTAGTGCCAAAATCAAGAATGTGTAGAACTTTACATCCATGCTCTCATGGCATGGTACTCTGCACCCCAAGTACACATTTGTATTTTTAGTGGAAATAACTGAAATTGCAGGGTGAAAATACTTCCTGGAAATTTAATCCATGAGTGTGACCCTTACTAGGTTCTTCAGCAGTTCCACTCTATGAGGAATGAAGGACTTCATATTCTCTATCATAGTCCCTACTTACAGGAACAATTTAATAAATAAATTTAGAATTAAAAATCTATATGAAAACATTTCATGCATTTAGAAGAACTAATCATCTCATATTTAACAAACATCATCATCATCATCATCACCATCATCATCAGTAATCTGTCATATGACAGGTCCAGTCTCTTCCAAAACAATTCCTCCACTTAATGCGATCTAGAGCTTTCTCCTTCAAATGACAGTATCCTCTTCTGTCCCCAAGGTCATCCAGCATCTTTTTATGTCTTCTTGTCACTTTTATCCGCCCCTCTATCTTTCCTTCAATAACTTCTTTTAGAAGGCAGTCTCTGCGTAAAACATGACCAATCCAATTAGCCTTCCGTTTTCTTATTTCGTGTAGGATATTCCTCTGCTCACTGACTCTAATTAACACTTCTTCATTTCTCACATAATTGGTCCAACTGATCTTCTCCATCCTTCTCCAACACCACATTTCGAAACTTTCCAGATGTTTCTGATCTACTGCCCTAAGTGTCCATGTTTCAGCCCCATACAGAGCTATGCTCCAAATGTAGCATTTCACTAGTTTCTTCCTCAAATTTAAGTCCAATTTGCTGGTAAAAAGATTCTTCTTCTTGCTAAATGCAGCTTTTGCCATGGCAATCCTGGATTTAATTTCACTAGTACACCTTCCATCATCTGTTAACAAGCTACCCAAATATTTAAAACATTTCACATTCTCCAGTTGTTTTTGGTCTATCTTTATTGTGACTGGGGTTGGTTGTCTCGAAATTTTCATTACTTTTGTTTTCTCCACATTCATTTCCATGCCATAGCACCTTCCAATTTCAATTAGTCTATCAATCATGCCCTGTAGCACAGTTTCTTCCTTAGCCATTAACACAAGGTCATCTGCATATTTCACAGTTTGAATAATTTGCCCTCCTAATTTGAAGTCTCCGAGCCTATCCAGAGCTTCCTTGGTAAGGCATTCGCCGTACAAGTTGAATCCAATATGCACAGTGCTTGTCTCCCCTCTGTCCAGTCATACTCTAACTTTCTACTAACATACTAACCATAAATTTTAATTTCAATTTTGAGAGTTTAAACAATAAGTCTGTGCTTTCAAAAAGAAATATCATTCATCAAATTGCTTTACAGCATTCTCTTTAACTGTGCTAGTATTATTTTACTTTAGCATACACTTATTTCAACACTAAACGCACAACAACAATTCTGACAGAATCATCTACCACTGTGACATCTAGCGGTTACAATGTGACACTATGCACTAATCACCAGAAACTTCTTTTGTGCCAAGTATGATTTAAGAATTCAAACTCAAACTCAGATTAGTCATAGTCTATATTTCTGAAACTTGACTTCGATAATATCAACTGCAGTCATTCCTGCAGTTTTTACTGAATCATTATATAGGCACACATAAAGAACTACATGACTTCATGTACACGCTCAGTGTCCTAGCATATGTACCAAAAACAAGACATTTTTGTCTGAATGGGATATGCAAAAGAAAGATCAGGCATTCTGGTTTGGCTCATTTTGTATAAAAATCATCTGACAGTATTGTTTACGGTTTAAATTGTTCACTTCTGGAGTGAAAAATTTGTAGAAATAGAATAAATGAAAAGTGTGTAAATTCAGTATCAAATGGAGTTCCAGTGGAAATAGAGTAAGAATTGTACTTATCATAGTTTTGATGATCAGCTGATAATTCTTTGTTAAACTTTAGACACAATTATATTTTTTTGCGGCTAGTAATTGTAAGGGGAACTCATGCTAAATCAATCACCTTATGCACTGCCGGCTTAAAGAAAAGGCGTAAATCTCTTTTCATGTATGTTACATGACAATTCTTCTGTTGAACACAAAATTCATATACTTCTTGATCCGAAAGACAGAAAATTATGGAGTTAATCACAACTAGATAACAATATCTAATTAAGTTTACAAAGGAAAGCAAAATGTTAATTACATTCCCTCATATTCTAGTTTCATCCTTGCTGCTAAACCCAGACTGTAAAGTAATATATGGGCCTGGAAACTATTTTCCATATTGAATTTCTATTCCAGTACAGTTCATCATTATATTTACATGGAATGAGTACTGTAACTATGATTATGAAAAGGTATACATCTTGCAATATTTTAAAAATTTCATGTCAGAAAACCCTTTTTAATTTCCGCATTTTGAGTTTACCATATTAATCTCCAATCATGTACACCGTGTTTTGGTTTCTTTTAAATGTTATTTTATGTTCAGACTCATTTGTAATTGTGCAGTTTAATTTCTTTTGAAAATACAAGTATGAGGTCTTCATAAGGAAATTTAAATTAACTTGGTGCATCTGTTACAGTTATTCTGCTTCCATCTCTGAAGCATAATATAGAGGTCAATTACTTTTTTTTTTCCTTAAGCAATATTAATGCAATTTCCCGTTGCTTGTATTGAGGAATAACAACAACAGACCCATAATAATAAAAATGCTATAAAGTAAAACAGGAAACAATCCTGTGTTATTTCAATCAGTCAATATAAGTATGTGGTTTGTGTGCTGTTCTTTATAAGGGACATAACTGACTCACCACAAAACCAAACACCCTATGGAAGAAAGACAGAAACAAGACTGATTCAAATTAAATTGTTGAGCTGAGCACAGGGCTGCACAAGAATGGATCCTGTTAAAAGAAATATCAGGGTAGCATTCAGTATATATACCGTACGCTGCAAGGAAGAAATAGAAATGATATGAACATTTAGAAATAAAGATTCATGGATGGATGTAAAACTTAACATAATGCAATATGAAAGGGAAGAGTGAGATCAGAACAGATTTATAGACCAACTTTGTATGAAGGAATCAGTGTGTGAGAGAGAAAGAGATTTAGTTGTTGATTTATTAGATGAATGAGTGGGCAGAATAATAAACAAAGGAAAACAAAAATGAAAAATTGAAAGACTGAAGATATGATGAAACAAATTTTGTGTCTTGATTTTTTGGGTGGATGGATGGATGAAGAGACAAATGAATAAATTAAATGTAATTGAATATGTGGGGTTCCAAAATATAAACCACCATATTTAATACTTACTCCTATACAATGGTTAAACTGCAGTGAGTGATAAGTAATGAATATAAAAACGGCTGGAATGTGAAGGTAATTGCTTGTTTCATTTCTGTGTTCATGTCAGAAATATGAGGAGCATTATGCCCATGTCCTCTACAGATTACAACGATATGGTATATGACACAGAGGTAAGATACCGTTCCCTTGTATACAAGAGTTATCTTCACAAAATAAATATATTTCTTTCATTTAGAAAAATTACAATAATATCATAATCATATTTTTGAACAGCGTTGAGGTCTTAAGAGTTTATGGCATCGCCAAAAATTACGAATCTTACAACACACAAATGGTGAGTGTATGAGGTACTAATATCTTCTGAAATGTGATGCTGTGTGGCCTGAAAATAATTGTCGACTTCTGAAGGAATGTACAGACTTAGTCTTCAGGTCCAAAGAGTAAAACAAGCAAGACAGAAGCAATTGGGAAGGTGCTTACTTACATACAAATATTTTACTCTTTAACCCTTAATATGAAGGCAGTATTTCTGCAAAATCTCTGTAAATTTCTACCAGGCTACTTAAACTCAACCCAGAAGACAGTACTCTTCATAGTGACCACTGTAAGACTCAAATCTCAGAGTGTAAATTTTTCCACGTCTTTATTAATATGGTCTCCCATTAATCTATTTACCAACATGCTATTGGGGCTTTTTTCTTTTACATGTTGACTTGCAATAATATATTAGTTGTCATCGTGACAGCCAGTACATGCTTCAAGATAAATTAACGGCCGATTAAACTGAGGAAATGCTTGCTGTCATTCAGCTTGGTATATTCGGTCTTCCTATATTTCTTCATGAACTTAGAGAATAAAATATACAAAATTATAATTTTACCTGTTGTGAAGCTTCTTCTGTCATCCTCACGGACAAATACCTGTTGACGATATCTGAAAATATGGAGATGAATAGAATATTCAAAAGTAAGGATATCATCACTTATTAGCCTTATTAGGCCGTGGCTCTTTCTTTCGACTTCTTTCCAACTCATTATTCACCGATCATCCTACTCTTTGACGCTATATAGCCGCAGACACACGTGGTGTAGTTAAACAAAGTATTATTAACATCTTGTCACTTCTTATTTGGTACTTTATAATCTCAGCACTTGACACAACATTATTAACTATACTAATAAATACGTGAGATTCACTAACACTTCTCACTTAACCTTTAACGTCCGAAGTTCCCGGAACGGGCCAGAGATGACTATGGTCGTCGTAGCAAAAGTACCCCGATTTGGCGCGTCGGGCATTTAAACTCCGCTAGTGGAAGCGCGCGCACAAGCCACTAGTAGCTGCGCATGCACAGTTCTAAATATTTATTTTTAAATGTAGTAATTACCAGACCGACTTGAGTAAAACCCTAATAGAGTAATTAAAATGATACCTAAGTGAACAACAACAAAAAAGGGCATACGTATGAGTTATGCACAAACTCATCCACGAACCAATACTTTTATTTCAGATGCTGCAGATTAATGTGTTAAAATATATAGTAAAATGAAAAAGTTAAATAGTTCCGTTCAGTGTGACTGGTTACACTGAACGGAACTATTTAACTTTTTCATAATATTAGTGTGACGGACCAGAATGAAACTAATCAAATATATACTAAAATTCGATGTACATACCTTTTTTGTTATCTGTTAGATGAATATATAGGCTGAAATGAAGCTACAGTATTCGATTTCACTATGAACGCACAGAAAACAGATCACACTCTGTATCTCAGCTGCGATGCAACTGTCTGTTCACGACCATAGAAAGGGCAATAATCCCTTACAGATGAAACGGAAGGTCTTAACGCTGAAGAAGGGACCCCTCTAGCTTTTTCTTGAATAGCCATACTTTCATTCTTCTGTCCTTTAGTCAAAAGATTCGAAAATCTGAAGAGTGTAAGCAGTGCTAGGAGAAGACCAAATGATTTCATTGCTTCCATCTGTTTTATGACACCAGGGACTGCCAAAATATGTCAAGTGGTACAAGCAGGACTGGTTTTACAATGCAGAACAACTCTGTGAGGAAATGGCAAACCATTTTTACAGTACGCATCAAAATTGAAAGAAAAAAAACTGAAAACAGATTATAACTCTTTGTATAAAATTTGCAAATCTTATGTTATAATATGTGACACTATGTTCTTTGCTGATATAAACAAAGTTAATTCCATCCATTTATCATAAAAATTGTGATAGATACAGCATTTTTAAAAAGTAATGCTTAAAATTGATTAAGTGCCCTAACAGGATAGGACATTTAAACACTGAGCAGCAATAGGCAATTAAATGTGCATCAGCAGTGAGCACTTAAATAAACTCCGGCCAGCTCAAGCTTACCACCATTTCAAAAGTCCGGCGTTTAAAGGTTACAGTACATGTAAGGTCCATTCATCCACATATCATTCTCAAAACTTCCCACAAATGCCTTACTGCGATTTTGTTTTATTTATGAGACCAGAATAGACAAACCAAAGTCAAATGCAACTTATGGCTGTGATTAGAAAATTTGAGAATATGATATTAGAGTGAATTCATGAACACCAAGTAATGGTACAGTTCTTCCTATAATGTCAAGGCTGGTTTACAATTTCAAAATTCTTCACTGTGTGAAGATTATTTTCAGTCATGTTATTTCTTGTACTTATGTTTTCGATGTAGCTTTCCTGTCTAACTGAAGAGTGTCTGTTAATGTCTGTTCCTTACTCAAGGCATGTTGTTACCTATGTCCCTTTAACCAGAACATTAAATTTACACCTGTGGTCTTAGACACAGCAAATTCCCCACCCCACACCAAATAATTTTTTACATCTACCCCCACAACATTTTGTTCCATTTTCTGGCACAGAAAGTTTTGTGTGATTGTTCATCTCATTTATGTGTCAATCTATTTTCAAAAATTACATTATTCATATGGCATCTTGCAGAGTTAATGATGCTAAGCTTGGTTATATGTTTTGATGTATTAAATGGATATGACTGATGTCATTCTTGCTAAAATGAAAAGTTTCAAGATGAGAGTAATAAATATAGTAGAACAAAATCACAATTAAATGAAAAGAGATATGAAGACTGGCATCCACACTGAAATGTGGTTTTAACTGCCTGCTGACCCTATGTTCAAGCCAGAGAACATAAATATTCTTAAAGACTTATAAATATTGCTACCATAAATAGTTTCATTATGTGTATATTGTTATTAAGACATTCCACAATGGAAACTTGAAATTCATAAAAATGTCTCTGAGCAGAATTTCTCACTTGAACCACTTATGAATTGGATTATCTGATCAAATCTGAGAATGGAATGAAACAAAGGAATTAAAAATGAATATAATTTTAAACACAAATTTCTTTCCATTTCTGAACGATATTAAACAGAGATGTATACAGGCATTATTACTTTTAAAACTAAAATTCTGGACTGTATCCATCGTCCCAGTCAGTTGAACCACGACGTTTCGGAAGCTGGATCTGCTACCGTCCTCAGGTAAGTAAAATGGAGGTAAAAAAGGGAAAAAATGGGAGAAAAAATTAAAAGGTCAGGAGGGTTCTTATGTATCCTATACAGTTGGGTCCCTTAGATCAAGCTAATCTCAATCACTGGAGATTAGCTTGATCTAAGGGACCCAACTGTATAGGATACATAAGAACCCTCCTGACCTTTTAATTTTTTCTCCCATTGTTTCCCTTTTTTACCTCCATTTTACTTACCTGAGGACGGTAGCAGATCCAGCTTCCGAAACGTCGTGGTTCAACTGACTGGGACGATGGATACAGTCCAGAATTTTAGTTTTAATATCTATTCTCCATCGTCGGGATCCTTTAGCTATTATTACTTTTGTATATGATATGAATATTTTGGTTTAAAGCTCAGAATAATAGAATGTGCATTGTTTTCTCGGAGACAGCAGCAGATTATCAGTATGCATTTTATATCCAAATTGAGATTAATGAATCACACCCTGATAACTGGTTCAAAATTTTTCCATAAACATATCTCATATTTCCTTCTCCAGAGACTAGTTGAAAACATCAGAAATATTGTAAAAGGTAAAGTTATTCCTGTAGTAGACCATGGAGACCCATAGTGTTGTGAAAGGTTGAGGCTCCGACATTTTCTAGACAGTTGGCTCACATATGGTTTTAAGGTTGTCAGCCTTATGTGCTGGCCACCCTTTACTACCCAGGAAGATTCTTGGTACTCATTTCTGTTAGAGGCTGAGGTGACCCCATGGCCATAGCACAGCTGGAAGGATTAGGTCAATTGAAAAATCCAGAAGTATGGAGAGGTTGTAAGTTGCATGTCTTAGAAAGTTCTCAACATTTACTTCCTCATATGCTCTTTCAAAAACTTAAAAAAGTCACTATCCCCATACATCACTCTGAAAATAATCCATTCTAATTAACCATTAAAAGGAATGTGTGTGTCTCAAAAATAAAGGAGGTCAATTGACTAATGTAAATTTCAAAATTAACTTGTCTCAATCTACCATTTGAAATGGAAACATTGTATCTTGTTTATGGGTATATTTACACCATAAGCTTTATCTTTCGTGCCCTCTTAAGGAAAAAATATTGTTAAGGTGGAGATTCAACTCAGTGAGATGGGGGATATCATACCTGTAAGTTCATTATGCATATTATGCACAGTATATTTTTAATTACAATTATGAATAGATTTTGACACTACATGAAGCATTTATTTTACAGGAACACTTTATTTCAGTGAAACTGGAAGCAGTCAGCTTTAAGGCAAGTAGAGTCATATTTACACTGAAATCCCATTACATACTGTTCTGTATGGCAAAAATCAGTGATGCTATAAGAATATCTTGTTCACAGATTTTCTCTCAGTTAAAGGTTAGGTTAGTGATTATATTTACATATGAATTATCTCAAATATGTGTGCTTGCCTTATAGATAAATAACATGGACATAATTTTGTATTAATACCAAAGTGTTGTGCATATGAAGTGATGTGCAGTAATCCCTCTTTTAATAGGGGTTTGGTTAATATGAATTTGATTATACACTACTTATATTTAGTCACCAGTTTTATACAACGCTGAATTGAGATTCTATTTTCCATGTGCACATGGGCAGACTTGTGGGAAACCACAGAGTACTCACGCCCACCGTCCAGCCTCGCAATGATGCCGTAACTCTCGCGTTGAGAACATCTGTGTCACATAATTCAGTGCACCCTTAACAAACTTAACAACTTTCCTTCTTTATATGAAGTACTGTATTGCTTTGCATTGAAATATATCCTGAAAGTGTAAATTAGCGATACTAATGCAAAAGGATTTAGAAAAGTATTTAATGTAGAACAGAAAATCTACACACTTGATAAATTAGAGTGTGGTGAAAATATAGCATCTGTTAGAAGGAACTTCCATGTCAGTGGTTGTGCCAGAAGTAATGGCATCAAGCAGCCATTATGGCTGATACTGAAGCAGTTGTGCTGAAGAGTGCAAAATTTAAGTGCCCCATGTGTAGAGAAAGCCAAAAATTCACTTCATGTGTGAATTGAGTAGCTTTGCACTACTTGTACTGTTACTTTATAGTACAGTATGTACTTCCTTTATTATTGCCATATTACACTAATTCATAATGTATGCATGTATACAATAGATAAAAACAAAGTCAGTTTCTTGTAATGTATATGACCATACTAGTTTATTTGAACCTTGAACTTTTGTGTATGTAGATCATAATCTCCACATTAACTCTGGGGCCCACTCAGCCTCCTGCCCAATGGGTACCAGGAGCTCTTTCCCCTGAGGTAAAGCAGCAGGGTCATGAAACTGACCACTCACCTCCATCTAGTGCCGAGGTCAAGAAAGGTGGAGCTATAACTCCACTCCCCCATGTCTTTATAACATAGTGCTTAAGTAATTAAGCACAGGGACAATTTCACTTTTTTAGTTTACATTTCAGATGCTGATTCCTCATACCCTTCATTTCCCACACGACCAAGCCCTTGCACAAAACGATTTGATATAAATGCTGTAATTAAAAAAGGGATTACTGTATTATAAACATTTGGATTTATAATATATGTCTAAATGCCAACATGTATGTCTCTAACATATTGTAACACTGCTACCATTACTGAATTTAGGAATAATGCATAGTGTAACAATTATGGCATGTTTGCTCGTTGTTCCTTCTAGATTTCCAATTTATGAATGCTGACTTTTGATACTCTTCTTATGAATAGTGTAAAAGAGGCAGAGCAGACAGGCAGGGTCATATAAATACATTGTTTCCAAGTTTGGAGGCTACACAGTAAAAAGTCTCTTTTGTTTATCTACCTTGAAAAAGCAAGGGTTGCAGATAAGTATATTGCACATAAAATATATTTTATTTTTTCTAAA